CCAAGGGGCAAGCTATCAAAACAGTATTTTGAGAGTCGAGAAGAGGAGCAATTAATGGTACAAGCATAGGACTCGTTCTATATACGGGGATGTCTAAGAACCTAAGAGGTATACCTCGAAGGATTAGATTGAGACGAGGAGAGCCTCCTCGATAAGGGCTATTCGAGATGTCGACCAAACCGCCCGCCAAAAGCGCTTGGTCGTATTCATTCCAATCGACGATGGAATCAGGGAGGCGAGAAGGAGAGTTGGGAGGTGGAAAAACCATCTTAATGCTGGTTACTTGAAAAGAATCAGAGCTTGAACACTCATCGACTTGGTGAGTATACTCGTTGATTTGACGACCAAGGGAGCCAGAGAGAGAAGACGAGTCGGAAGCTAAAGAGAAGAAAAAGAAAAGGTTGGAATTAGCGAAGTCACGGGATAATACACTGAAGACAACAAGCAGAGTCGATTTCCAAAAGTCATCGAAAGACGACTCGACTTCTGTCAATGTCAAAAGGAAACAGGGAAGCCCACAAGTCATTACTCAGTCGATTCGACAAGAGACAGACCAGCAAGTCGACGTGAGTCGATTAAGAGAATAACAAAGAAGGGGTAGAGAAAGAAAAGAGAAGGCCACTAGGTCGACAGGGATATACTTAGCAAAGGATGAAAAGTCGACTCTATCCCAGAAGTCGAAAACCAACAAAGCAAATAACAACAATTCCAAGCAAAACATGCACAATCAAAGATTCAACACAAAATTCGCGAAAAGTGTTTGAAGGACATGAAGAACACACAGGAATTTCAAAACCCAGAAAAACTGAAAAAATGAAAAAAACCGACAGAAAATTGAGAGGTAAAAGAAAATAGTAAACTTACACATGATGGTTTGGTTGATGGGAACTCTGAACGAACTTAAAGCGCCGGAAGTGGAAAGCGCCGGTGAAGCCGAAACCCGCAGATCGCCGGAAAGCTTGAAAGAATTTGAGAGAGAACGAGAAGTTTGAGAGCGTAAAAAGTGATATGAGAAGAATCCGAAGTGTATTTATACATGAGGGTAATAGATGTTGACCGTTGGATCAGCAGGAGAACCAACGATCCTGATGGGGCGTAGAATTCGAAGAGTCGGCGATGGAGATGACGCGCGTCGCTTCAGGGTTTTCAAAATTTGAAATTCAAAAAGGGTCTGTTAGAGTGTCAGACTTATCTAAATAGTAATCATAAAGGATGAGAAGGCATTTTAGCAAAATGACGAGACGTGGTATAAACAAGACGAGTAAAGATAGATATGACGACTTAAGTCAAATAAGCACCGCACTTGACCACCAAATTTACTCTTAAGCATTCGACTGCTTAGAGTAATTTTTGCGGAGGGACTAGATGATATAGTCATATAGGATATTCCGGTCCAAAGGCTCCCTACTCGACCGATGAATCGTTCGAACCACTCGCATGTCGACATGGTTCCGTCGACATGCTCAAGTCAACTACCCCAAAGTCGGTTCTTCGCAAGAGGGACAACGAGAAGTGGGCAGATATCACACAAGTCGACTCAAAGAAGTCAACTTACTTGTAGTCGACTCCCAGGTAGTCGACATTTGCTTGAGAAGACCAGCAAAGGCGTAGCTCCCGGATAATCAGAAGATCTCGAGTTGACTCGTCCATGCTCAATGTCGACTCCTCATACCTCAAGACGAGAGAAGGATCAACAACTCGATACACTTGTAATATTTCTTGGGACCTCTGGTCCTTCAATAGATAAGAAGAAATCTTGAGATGACTCAACAAGGAGGGGAGACGAACCGACCGGGGCATTTTGGACCTTTTAGATCCACCGACTTGGGCATTTCGGGTACTTCAAGTAAGCATTCACTCCTATATAAAGGAGATGAGGTAACCCTAAACTCTAACTCTTATTCATTCCACACTCTCCTCATAGCTGCTGCGCAGCATCCCTTCATCTCTCTCATACTGACTTGAGCGTCGGAGGCTCTACGCCGGAAACACCTCCGGCGTTGAGTTTTTGCAGGTATTCTCACGGTCTAGCAACGATTCAGAGGCGGTTCAAGCAGATCTGAGCTCAAATCCACCGGTTCTCTTCAGACCTAGAAGTAGACCCATCAGTGGTCCCATCAAGGTAGCCTTCTAGGTCAAACATCTTGTTGTGATAAGCACTTATTGCTTTCAAATCAAATAATTTTCATCTGTCAACTTGTTGGATAGAAACTGATTTTTGAGCTATATAGGAGGGTTTCTATTTAGAGCTTCTTTTATGGTGAAAGAGAAAAGAAAAACCCAAGATGGTACAGAGCAGGTTAAACCTGCTCGGATACCATGATGGTTTCAAAGCAATCGGGCATGATCAAAATAGACAAAGGATTCAAAACACGCAAACAAAGCTCAAACAGTTTCATCAAATTTGCATTGCATGTCACCTTGGTGTGCTCAAGTGTTTACAACTTATGTAGGTCCCTTACATTAGCCCTAGAAACCTAGGATAAGGTTCTGAAAATGAGAGGCTCAAAACCAAGGATGAGCTATCCAGAAAATAAGAAAAACGTGCCTCAACAAAGAGACAAAAAAATACAGTTATTGTGTACTGAATGTTTACATGATGTCCAAAGAGGATAAAAGAAATTTGACTGAAAACTTAAAATGATTAATCTTGAATTAATCTCTACAAAATTCTCTCTACAACTAATCTATTAGTTTAAGCTTCAGATGGAAGGCGCAATCTAATGGGATCTTTCAGAACTTGAAATAGCTTGGAGGAATATCAAAATGGGTATTTTTAGTTATTGGTCAATTTGCAATGATAATGCTGCACTTGACTACATTTGGCATCTACAAAGCACCTCCTATTTTTCATGTTGCTCGTGTTACAATTTATTGTAGAATAGAACGGAAAATCTATGAACTGAAGTTAAGGTTTCAGTTTTTACAATTCGAACTATAAAAGAGGAAAAAAAATGACAATTTTAATGTGGATAAATTAAAGCCGAGGCAATTGAAATATATCCGCAAAACAAATACGCCATGTGTAGTGTTTACGGGTTTGTGCGTCTTGTCCCAAAAGATACAACGATTGTCTGACTTGGAAGCTGTAGCATACCAGACTTCAGAGCTCTGGCGAACACAAACAGAATCGAGTACTGAGCAAGTGTATGATATGATGCGTGAGGCTTTCAGTATAGAGTGAGATGCAGAGGAGATGATCAGTGTATCCTACAACTCTACACCATGTCATATTTATAGGACTTCCAGCTCATAAAGGAAAGGCGACAGTTATATGCCACTTAAGGCATGTAATAGCCCACTTAAAATCGTTTTTCAGGTGTTAACACACCACTAATCAGGTGTTAAATCTCCATCTGAAATAGTCAAGTTGAGTCAAATGTCCAGGTTCAATGTACCTGGAGAAGTCTCACTCGGGTTGGGTCAAAACCCGAGTCCAATCCAACTTGATTAGGATTTCAATTTGGGCCACAATTGCCAGTAAATTTGCAGCAAAAAGATAAAAGTGGTTGGGTCCAAGGCCCAAGCTCAAAACCGTCCAACGCCGCCCAAGTCCAGCCCACAGTCCAATTACCAAGACGTAAGACCCAAGTCCTAAGCCGAAGCCCAGGCCCGCGCTCGAGCCTGAACCGGCCAGCCGACTCGCGGGCGCTCGCGCGCGTGTGGCTGAAGCCAACACCAACACTTGGTGCATAACTTTATTGTTGATGGGACTTCTACAATCCTCTTTATTATAATAAAGAGAGTTAATCTCATTTAAGAGTCCAATGTGGGAAGGACTTTTGACCCTTCGAATCTCACAACTACTGTTTTACGTGCCCATTTATGCTAAGTTTAATCATTTATTTCTCACTCACCGAAAATCAGTTTTGAGAAAATAAATATACCACGAGTATCTAATCTATACAATTTAATTTAGCCTAAATTAAATATTTAGCTATAAAAAATTAAGTAAAAATCCAGTCAAAACTAAGTTTTATAACTGATTTTTACAACAACTCGATGCTCACAAGTACAATGGTTTAGACTAAATCTTGCTTCGCTACTATAAATCTTGCTTGACTTTAGTAGCATTCTACCTGCTACATGTCCTTCTGCCACTTATGCACATACTTGAATCCATGTTTCCCACCTTTTTTTTTTTATTTTTGCTTAATGAGACAAAAGGGGAAATCCTCCTCTACAACATTTTAGGAATTTTGGAAGCTCATGTCCGAGAGTTACGTCCCATCAATTTATTACATAATCTGTCTGCCTCTTTGTCTTTGTGCATCTATTTCAAATATGTGATTGGATCTTCCTTTTGTTTTCAAGTAATGATAAACCTACTCTCAACATTTTGCATAGGGTTGATAATAGGAATGCTTCCAAGCTTCAGAACCTTAACAACGGCAACACTGATTTTACAGAGAGAAAAAAGAAAGTGCAGAGCAAATTCTTATGTCAAAACAAATGCAAGTCGAGCACTTACACACCAGAGGACGGCATAACTGTTGTCAGGGATACACCAGAGCAAATTCTTATGTCAAAACAAATTCTTATTCTTTGAAGTGCCCGTTGACACCATTGTAAACATCACATCTGCCATTTAGTACGTTGTGGAGACTTTTAAGCAACAAAACAAACAACATTGATGCCTATTACTTGGAACGTTAGTACTTTGTCTTATTATAAAAAAAAAAATAATAATAATAAAACTCCAATTAATGAACTATAGTCTTTTTCTAAAAGCAAATCCAGTTTCAATTGAACTCAGCTCATCCAATCCACATTATCGCAACAAATTCTCTTTACATTGAGCTTGTGCCACTTGCACGCATAAATTACACGAGAACCACACAAAGATTCTCTGCATGCATTCACCACAACATCACAGTCCCACAGTACACTAGTCACTCACTGCATTTAACCCAAACTAAACTCAGTTGTATCTTTAGAGAAATAGAACAA